TGCTTGAGGGACAACAAAGGTCTAGACACATCAGATTCTTACACTGCTTGAGGTGACAACAACAGTCTAGACACATCAGATCCTTACACTGCTTGAGGTGACAACAACGATCTAGACACATCAGATCCTTACACTGCTTGAGGGTGACAACAACGATCTAGACACATCAGATCCTTACACTGCTTGAGGTGACAACAACGGTCTAGACACATCAGATTCTTACACTGCTTGAGGTGACAACAACGGTCTAGACACATCAGATCCTTACACTGCTTGAGGTGACAACAACGGTCTAGACACATCAGATTCTTACACTGCTTGAGGTGACAACAACGGTCTAGACACATCAGATCCTTACACTGCTTGAGGTGACAACAACGGTCTAGACACATCAGATTCTTACACTGCTTGAGGTGACAACAACGGTCTAGACACATCAGATCCTTACACTGCTTGAGGTGACAACAACGGTCTAGACACATCAGATTCTTACACTGCTTGAGGTGACAACAACGGTCTACACACATCAGATTCTTACACTGCTTGAGGTGACAACAACGGTCTAGACACATCAGATCCTTACACTGCTTGAGGTGACAACAACGGTGACAACACCACACACAATGCTTGAGGTGACACATCAGATCAGATCCTTAAACTGTTTGAGGTGACAACAACGGTCTAGACACATCAGATCCTTAAACTGCTTGAGATGACAACAACGGTCTACACACATGAGGCCATTTTACTTCTTCAGAAGCCAACATCTGTTAATCAAGTAAGGAAGGGTCAGCTTAAATAGTGTGTTGATATTTTCATCTGTGAGCGCTGAAATTAGAAATTAATTGAACAGTTTCACGCTACAAATTGATACACTTCATGTCAACAATGTCTTTGATGTGTTTTTCTCAGTTCGATCTCAGGTGTAGGATTAGTTGATAATGGAAGATATTGTCAGATGGTAATGTGAAGATCCCCAAGGTTTGATGTGTCTAATTAAACTCTATCTTTGTTGAAGTTCTTACAAAAATAACTAACCACTGCATCAGTTCATCCTGCCATAATATATATCAGTGCAATACAAAAGTAAAGTAATGTTTGATCAGCCTTTAGACTACAGTGGAGCACTGAAGCCTACCTCAAGGTGGGATGGCACAATGAACAAGGGGCAGACAAAAGGGTGAGATGAACTAGGGGCTGACACAAGGGTGAGATAAACAAGGAGCTAACACAAGGGTGAGATGAACAAGTAGCTAACACAAGGGTGAGATGAACAAGGAGCTGACAAAAGGGTGAGATGAACAAGGATCTGACACAAGGGTGAGATCAACTGGGATTTGACACAAGGGTGAAATGAACAGGGTGAGATGAACAAGGAGCTGACACAAGGGTGAGATGAACAAGGGCTGACACAAAGGTGAGATGAACAAGGAGCTAACACAAGGGTGAGATGAACAAGTAGCTAACACAAGGGTGAGATGAACAAGGTTCTGACACAAGGGTGAGATGAACAAGGGCTGACACAAGGGTGAGATGAAAGGGGTGAAATGAACAGGGGTGAGATGAACAAGGGAGGCACACAAGGGGTGAGAGATGAACAAGGGCTGACTGACAAAGGGTGAGATGAACTGGGACAAGGGGTGCTGACAACAAGAGGTGTGAGATGAACAAGGGATGAACAAGGGCTAACACAAGGGTGAGATGAACAAGAGGCTCACACAAGGGTGGGGATGAACAAGGGCTCACACAAGGGTGAGATGAACAAGAGGTGATCTGAACAAGAGGCTGACAGGGTGAGATGAACAAGGGTACGACACAAAGGGTGAGATGAACTGGTTGACACAAGGGTGAGTGCTGAAAGGGTGAGATGAACACAGGGTGAGATGAACAAGGAGCTGAAACAAGGGTGAGATGAACAAGGGCTGACAAAGGGTGAGATGAACTGACACAAGGGTGAGATGAACAAGGGCTGACACAAGGCTGAACAAGGGCTAACACAAAGGGTGATGAACAAGAGGCTCACACAAGGGTGAGATGAACAAGGGGACACAAGGGTGAGATGAACAAGAGGCTGATAAACTGGACTGACAAGGGTGAATGATGACACAAGGATAGGATAAACTGAGAGATGAACAAGGGCTCACACAAGGGTGAGATCACACAAGGGTGGAGATGAACAAGAGAGGCTGACACAAAAGGGTGAGAGATGAACAAGGAACGACTGGGGGTGAGCTCACTGACATGGGTGAGATGAACAAGGCTCACACAAGGGTGAGATGAACAAGGCTGACACAAGGGTGAGATGAACAAGATGAACAAGAGGCTCTAACACAAGGGTGAGATGAACAAGGGCTGACACAAGGGGTGAGATGAACAAGAGGCTCACACAAGGGTGAGATGAACAAGGGCTGAACACACACAAGGGTGAGATGAACAAGAGGGCTGACACAAGGGTGAGATGAACAAGGGAGATAAACTCAGATGAACAAGGGCTCACACAAGGGTGAGATGAACAAGGGCTGACACAAGGGTGAGATGAACTGGAGCTGGTACAAGGTTGACACAAGGGTAGGATAAACACAAGGGTGAGATGAACAAGAGGGCTGACAAAGGGTGAGATGAACAAGGAGGCTGACACAAGGGTGAGATGAACAAGGGCTGACACAAGGGGTGAGATGAACAAGGGGCTGACAAAAGGGTGAGATGAACAAGGGCTAACACAAGGTGAACACAAGGGAGATGAGATGAACAAGAGGCTAGACACACACAAGGGTGAGATGAACAAGGGCTGACACAAGGGTGGAGTGAGTGGGTGAGATGAACAAGAGGCTCACACAAGGTGAGATGAACTGGGAGCTGACACAAGGGTGAGATGAACAAGAGGCTCACACAAGGGTGAGATGAACAAGGGCTCACACAAGGGTGAGATGAACAAGGGCTGACACAAGTGTGAGATGACACATTCAACAAGACATTTTGCGATCAGACATTAGTTCCTGACAACCTGCCTAATACAAGAAACATTAACTGAAACAGTACAAAATATCTGGAGAAAATTGCATATAACTGTTACTATATGTGTGCAAATGTCATATTGGTTTCATAATACAATATACATGAAGTCAAACACAAGCAAAATCAATATGGTATACACACAAATATATTAATCTGTTTACAGTTCATAATAACTGCAGGACAAGTGCCTTCTATATCGAGAAGCTAACAGCATCAACATGACGTCAATGATATGCTGTGATGCCTCATCCTCGCTGTCACTTAACACTACGTCAGCAGTGGTATTAACCCATCATTACCACAGTAGTGATTGTCTGTACATTGAACCTAACAGATCATACACATACATGTATACAGAGTTAGCTGGGATTCCACACTAAGTCACCATGGCAACGCTTTTCAAGATAACAAACTTGATTTGTGCAAAACTGGCATGTAATTGAAGATTGTATTTAAAGGAATTAAGAGGATTTAACACCATAACACCTCTTTCTGTATTAGTATTGCTGTCAGATGAATTACAGTCACCACTACCAAGCTATAACATTGGTCATGAATATATTACCAGGAATAAAGAAAAAAAATCACTCATATTTGGAATTTTTACTGACATTGGCAGCAGACATATGGCTGAGAATTGGCCCCTAAACAGGTCTTGATATATTGACATGTCAATATATTCATATATCAATATATTCATAATGTATCAGTCACATTACTGATATCAAAGGATTGTATACACATCATACAAGTCAACAATAACAGCAACGCTTGACTGGATCAGTCGTTTTTGTGAAAGAACTGTAATTAAACATCAGCCACTGAATTCTGAAATGCTCTCGTGCTAGCTACTACCAGTCTGTATGGTGACGGATATGATGGTTGGTGGTGAGGAAAGTAGTCTAGAAGCTGTTTAGATACGCATTGTTAAAATTGTGAATTCACTGCGGCAATAGGTCACTGCAATAAATGAACACCATTAATATTATTTTGGAAAGGTAAAAAAGGATCAAGTCTAGTTGAAAAAAAAAACTCTCATTTTGTACATAAATTCCACAAAGAGTGAAAACAGTCATTTGGGTCTGTGAATAGATCACGTGTTCCCAGTCATTACAGCATGCTGAAAAACTTTGATTAAAATTTAACCATCAACAGCTATCAAATATTGAGTAAATAAGGTTTTTCATCAACAAATTTCACCCCATTACCAATTTTAGGTCACAAATGGAATATTTTCAGTTTTAAATATGAAAGTTTGTGGAATGCAAAGAAAATTGAAGAAAATGGATACAAACATGCTTGCTTTTGTCTGGGCAGAAACTCTCCTCTACTTTTGATTGTTGAGGAATTTTGATCAATATCCTTTCATTAACCTCCTAACACTACCAAGCTTCCAATTAACTCACAAGGAAAGGAATCTCTTGCAAAAGAACATTCAATTCTTCCATGCACTGATTTGACACAATCATTTCCTGCAATGGGAAATGTCCATCGAGGTAACGTAAAGAAATTACCAGGAATCTGCAGAATGCTTTGTTCATTATATGATTAATTGACTTCAATATTGCTGAAGACGCGACCTGTTCAATGTCGCAGTTCCAGCCGATCTCATATTCTGCTTCCCACAGTCTCGAGGGATTACAGGGTAATAGGTGCAGTGCCACCTCACCAGATAAGTCTTGATTGATACATGTACACAGCCAAGTTTCATACGGTAGTGGCAGCGGTCGGCAACTTCTGTTAAACCCTTACACTAAAGACTATGCATACTCGGCTCAAAAATGGTCCAAAATGACCCTTCATTTTGGGACAACTTTAATGGAAGTATTCGGTCAATAGCTTCAGCTTCAGTAATTTAGTGGTTTCCACGAATTTTGGACATGGGTCATCTACTGCCTGTTGCATTGATGAACAAGATGAGGAGGATAGCAATGGACAGATTTACACAATTTTTGAATACAGCTAAAAAATCACTTTGGATTATCTAATTTCTTCATAGTTAATTTGTCATGAAAACGTCAAGTGTCCTGCCTCTTTCGGTTGGCATACATAAAGAGGTTATTACATGACAGTTTTCCTTTTGCCAGTCATATCAGCCTGAGACTACATTTTAAGCTGAGGGCTGATATGGTAGTCTCGGGCTGATATGACTGGTGAAAGGAAAACTGTCATATCATAACCTTTTTATCACATACCACATCAAGGGACGTAACTCTAAAATAAACTAGGCTCCGTCTATTGAAGTTTTGAGTGTTTGCCTGTATTCATTCCGTTCAGTTTAGTAGCTGAGCAATACGACTGATATGCAATTACGGTGGTCAATATGGACATATGCAGACAACCAGTATTGTATGTGCAAAATGGTCCATATTATTCATAGGTATATGATAAAAGCATATAATTATTACATAGTGTCCAAGACTGCAGAGGTTCAACCTTGGCACTAAAGCAGAACAAGTTTCCAGTCTAACAACAGAGGAAAACAGATGCTGGCGCAGATTATGGACACTATCTATGTAATGCTGTTTGTGAACATCTGTATAGTTCTTAAAGAACAATATTATCTAAATGTCATTGGTTGAAGGAAGTATTAATAAACAGAAAATAACAAATGTGATAAACATTTATTAACATAGATGACATTTGGGATAGTCTGAACATATGTTATGTCCAAGAAATGGAAGAGCAAAGACGATTCTACCCTAGGTCATTGTGCCATTAGCACATTCCAATTGCCCAGTGAAATCACTAAAGGGCAATAATGGTGCAATGTTTGAATTAATTTGAATCTAATCAATCAAATACAGAGTCCTGATGCCCAAACAAGTGTTTCTTTATTGTAACCTTAAACTCCAATTAAGGATCTCAGAAATACTGAATTCCATTAAACAAGGCAAGAGCACTTCCTACGTGTGTTTGTATAGAGCTAGATCTGCTGTTTTGTACTCTGAACACTAATTAGACAATAACTTATAGCCAATGTGATTACTTTAAAGCTCTCAGATAACTGAACCCAAACTTTGTAAATTGATCTTTAATTGTTCCATAGTTCTGGTACAAGTCTATCATATTTCAACATATTTCTATGGTCTTGTCAAATCTTTGCCTGATCGTTTGGGTGTTTTCAAAGAATGTCAACATAAATGTAAACTGTAGAGAAACAGCAATGAGTTAATAATAATGGATTTGTATAGCGCCTAGTTTCCACCATACGATGCTAAACAGCGTTGAAATCACAATCTGATCCATATTACCCCGGATAACCCAAGCTGCCTGTGAGGAGCTAGAAGGTTATAGTCACATGACTTATCCCAATGGGTACCCATTTTCTGCTGGGTGAACAGAGGCTGAGTAGCTGGGTTTCTATGAGCCCAACTGTTTTCCACATACAAAATGAACTCAGGAATTGGGACTAGTCAGTTCCAAGTTGACGAGGAAAGCCAAGAAAATTGTTCACAAATCCGAGCTTTAAGGAAGAGAGTTTTTATGGATGTCAACTTCTTTATTATGAGGAACACAAAGTTTCAGAGTTGTGGTGAATGAAGGAGTAAGGATATGCTCGGAAACGTTGTGTTCCTCATATAAAGAAGTTGACATCCATAAAAAACTCTCTTCCTTATGTGCATCACTTCTAAATGCCATTCAAAGACCCAAATCCGAGCTTTGTTTACAACACTGACATCAGAGCAAGGTATTTGCACATTCTGAACATTTATGAAAACAAGACCTTCACAATTACTTAATAATACCTAATGGAAAACACAAATGCTAACTGAACACTATAGTTTAAACAGTAGGCCCTTGGCCTAGATATTTGAAGCTCTCTTAACGCTAAGACAGTCGTAAGTGCCATACATTAACATTAACTTATGACTATCTTAGCTCTAAGAGAGCTTCGAAAATCTAGGCCATAATTGAGTTAACATGAAACCCCAATCATCTAAACACCACGCAGTGTATCAATACTAGCAATACTGTCCAGATCCTGGTCAATGATAGGTTGTCAATACTGTTGCCATGGTTTTCTGTGGCTATCACATTGCAAATCGGATGAACATGTTGATCAGATGAATAATGTTTGGTAATATGATTCTCTGGATGTAGTGACTCAGCTTCGTCTACTTACCTGAATGTCAGGTCGGATATCTACTATGTGGTACTGAGATTTGATGGCGGAAACTACTACGCTCAGTAGGCGTGAACTGTGTTTGTTTAGTTTATTGTTTAACTATATACTAAACAATATTCTAGTTGCGAACATGACCACTCATTCTATCACGTCACCATTGACAACAACAAAAAATTCATTGTCATTTTGATGCATTTGATTGGCTAATAAAGCAGAATGTTTTTGCGTACATCATGCAACATGGCCACATAAATGAAAATAATTTTGATCCCGCCCACAAACGGACTGCTGTTTTCTGCTTGGCTTATAATCGAATATGCAGCATTTCTGAGTGGAATCTTACTTTGTATTACCTTCTGCAGTGTTTGTTAATGATTAATAAAACAGTCTGTGAAGTTGTAGACATATTTGTTTATGGTTAGAGACTTCAATATATCTAAACATTTATTAAGTTTTAAACATAAAAACTTTATGCACATTTTGCTCAAACCTGTTTAAAAATTTACAGCAATTCTTAACCACATTCCTGGGGACACTTTCGGACCCAGGACTATCTGCAGAGTACAATGATTGCAGAAGGCTTTCAATATATCTGGTCTGGTTCTCATGACCGAAGCAAAGATTCATCTTAATTTAGCTAGCAGACAAATCACTCAGAATGATAGATTTAGATCTGTGACAACAGCAGGTCACACATTTAGAAAACTTTGCTGATGATATGTGAATACGAGTACCTTGGGTAGTTATATGAAAGTTACAAATACAGGTTTCAAAGGTTAAAATATTAAGTTTATTACATGGAATAAGTTTGAATATGGTCTACTCTGAGGCAGATATTTGTCCCCAAGTAGGAGTTTACATTTTTTCAATTTATGTTGATATAGACTCAGCTAACATGACAACTTGAGCAGGGTGACTTTTATTTTACTGACAACAGAAACAATACAGCTGAGCAATTAAAAATTTAATTATTGCATGAAACCAACTCAAAATTCTCTTAAAAATAGTTAATACAAAGTTCTGTAGCATAAGCATCCAAAATAAACATTATTTGTACAATCGTCAAAAACTCCTAGCCTTTTATGTACAAGTTCCTGTAAGTCTTAGAAATGGTTCGTGCTAAATTCACAGACTGATGCCAGTCTTCAACACAAGCACAGTCAATACAAACTTGTTTATTCTCCTAAGCAGTCTCATGGCCTTGAACTGCCCTGAGGAGTCTGATAAACAACCAGCACAGCGCTCTCCCAATATCCCCCATTCCACTGCCTCCCCCATCCCCGAAGCCCATTCCTAGAAGGTCTGGCACCATCTCTGGTCTGCCCAGATCATGTCCATTTCAGGGAATTCAATCAATCAGGCTAACACATACAATTTCCGCAGCTTCCACCAAACCTACGGTCTCACCAGTAGGCAAAGGGATTGCATTAAATTTCAATGGAGACGGCACTGCTCCTTTGACCGGATTGCACTTCTGACCACTACACACTACACATCGTAAAACACTGCCATATGGTGCCACTGGCGCTGGCACCACTAGCTACCGTTGGCGCTTGACCATTGTGTGACCGCTATCGCAAGCAGGCTTACAAGTACCTGAAGTCAAAAACAGGCAAACCCCAGATCGTAAGGGATATCTGTTTGCAACATGCAATCTCATTGCTAATTGAGCAGTCATGAACAGAGTCCATGCTTGATGTGCAGCAGACCAGGTTCATGCCAAACATGCAGCAGATCTTCCACAATTTGTTTCTCGAGGGTAACAACATAATGAAGTTTGAAATGAAGCCAAAGTGCGTTAACCATTGGTTTTCGTCCTCATGAGGCTGCTCTCCAACTGTTGGACAAAAATAGCTGATCTCAGTTCCATCCATTAAACAATTTGCTACCCACTGTCATGCAGAATCAATCTATTTTTATGTTTAGATTGAATTTAGCTGCTATTTTCTTGAAAGAAATTGCAAAGAACAATGTCCTTTTGTAAATTTGTTACAACTGGCGCTTAAATCAACATGTTCATTCTGTTGGAAATCTAATCACATTGTGTCATTGAGTGTAATTGTGTTAGTTCCAACTTGTTTAAAGGAAACTTTGAAATAAGCAGTATGTCTGAGAGTCACACTGTTACAAGTGAAAGAGACAAAGAGTTCTTATGTGTATATTTAAAGATTGTTCAATCAGATTTAAACTAAACTAAGAACACTATTGAGTTCCATTTGTTTCTTGCAGAGAGATCACCAAAAATTATTCAATAACTTTCAAACAGTTCATTTCACAGGTCTCCAAGAAATGAAAACCTTTGCAATTTGACAACACCTCCTCTGATTAATCACGTTTTGGACAGTATAAGTGTGAAACAGTTGATTGTAGGGTATGACCATGCTGTCCCAGTATGATACAACACATAGTCATATGGATCATACCTTGTGACCATCCAATTGGACCTCAGCTCTCACAACAAGCATTGGGTACTGGCAGCCTAATCAGTTCTCACAACAAGCAGGGGGTACTGGGGAACCTCAGTTCTTACAACAAGTAGGGGGTACTGGCAGCCTAATCAGTTCTCACAACAAGTAGGGGGTACTGGGAACTCAGCTCACACAACAAGGGGGTACTGGGGACTCCCAGCTCTCACAACAAGCATTGGGTACTGGCAGCCTAATCAGTTCTCACAACAAGCAGGGGGTACTGGGGAACTCAGCTCTCACAACAAGCATTGGGTACTGGCAGCCTAATCAGTTCTGACAACAAGTAGGGGGTACTGGGGAACTCAGTTCTCACAACAAGCATTGGGTACTGGCAGCCTAATCAGTTCTGACAACAAGTAGGGGGTACTGGGGAACTCAGTTCTCACAACAAGCATTGGGTA